GTAGATGAGGCGCTTAGGGACATGGTTTAGTGGGCATGGTGGTGTTGGGTTGATGGTTGGATTCGATGATCTTAGAGGTCTCTTCCAACCTTAATGATTCTATGATTCCACAAAGCCAGAATATACTTGTTTGTACACTATTTGTGAAGCCTAGAAGTCCAAGATGCTGCTATGAGGATTTTAGGAAGTTTTTGTTTCTCTGTACTCCATTTACTACAGTTTTCTCTCATGTCAGTTTCCCATGTACATCTTCCCCAGGCTTACAGACTAAAGCAGACATCCCAGTAAATGGGGGTGACTCACAATCCAAATTCAGAATCATCTGGGAAAATATAGATTCTCTGGATTGTTAAACCACCCCAGCTTACACATTGAGTTCAAAGACTAATTTTGCAGCTTTGGGGTCTTCCCTCCTCCCCCCCCCCCCCTGCCATTTCAACCAATTTTGGCTCTTCTGTTGTTTTTTTACCATAGCTTTACTAATGTTGTTTCTGACATTGTCTTTCCTAGCATATCATAGGTACATTTTTGGTATAAATTCTTATGTCTCTACATGATTCTGAAGTTATTTTCACTTTCTTTTACTCATGGTAGACCCAAAAAAGAAAATTGCCTGAAAACCATCACTACAAGAAGATTAATAACTACACTTTCTATTAAGTAACCTCACACGCTAAAATTAAGATGCTTTCAGAATTCATCTCTTTTGGTAAGTGTTTTTTCCTGAGCCAGGCATGACCATAAAAGAGGTATAAGTTTGAGGTCGTGTTAAGATTCTGAATGAGGAAACGTATCTCTGTTACAATAACACCCTTAATTTGCAAGTCGAGAAACAAAGCTTCCACTGAAGAGGAATTCTTAATTCAGGCCCATTTTCACCAAAGACATACAAAAAATGTCACATCTGAATTACGTCCAAAAACTATTCAAAAGTAAGGCTCCTACCACAACAGAACCTTGCTCGCTAGCTGGGGATCCCAGATATACAAATGCAACAATATCATAAACAATATTATTTTATTTTGTAGCCATATAAAAGCACCTCTGAGATCCACTAAATCTGTGGAGGAAATTAACATGTATTGGTGGCAGGCTCAAACTCAGAATTTCAACTTTTGATCCACTTAGCACCCCAAACAATATTTTGATATTTGAAACAATCCTAAAATTTGGCTGTAAAAAACCCACTAATTTCACGTAAAAGTTGGAGATGCATGTGATTTTCATTTTCTTTATATGCCTACGGGGTAGGCTGATAAACTGCTTTTTGGAAAGCCTTTGGCTTTTAAGGCTGACAGAAGGAAAGTGGAATCTGTTCTGAGGAACAGTGACTAAACCAACAGGCCTAATTTTTTTAAATACAAACCTGAAAGTAGAGATTGCATAACCAATGATCCAAGTCTTGAGAAATAAAATTTTCAATTTTTTTGAATCGGTCAACTTTGGAGTTGTAATGGCCTCTGAGGAAGGGACATTTAAATTTTCCCTCCAAAGCATTAAAATTGTTGTCACACAAGGGAAAAGCTCCCCATCCCACTTCTCGATCAATCCAAGTACGGGTCCCACGAAGAAGGAAGAGTTCAAAGAGGAGGACCATGCCTGGCTTCACAGCTTTTCTAGGTGGTAAAACCTAGCAAATGAGGAAAAGAGAAGATTTATTAGTTATAAAAACATCACAAGGGAACCAGCTTTCTTTTATCATATAAAGCTCTACAAACTTCATACCTTTGAATCAAATTTGCATGCTAAAACAATTAACAACTCTTCTCTTTCCACCAAATCATGTATTTGAATAATTTTCCACTCTGACAGAAAATGCTGTGCTTTTTTTCCATGCTAATTTTGTGATTTCTTTTTTTTCCCTTGGCTTTCTGAAAGTGTTCATTTTCTGTCTTTATTTACCAGTGGTGGAAAAATATTGCCACAAGAAAACTTTAAGACAGAGTAACAAACCAAGTTGGGAATCTGAGGTGTCCCTGTGAGGGCTTATTGAGATTCACCACTGGGTTCTTCTTGCAGCAACTTTGGAGAGTTCATCCAAATACTCAGTGAGAATACTTGCAGGCTTGCTCCTCACTGAGTCATAAGCTCTTCTCCACCCAGTTCTGGGAATGATATTGGTACACAATAGCCTCCCTTCTTCAAATTAAAGCAGGGAAACTCTTCTTGCAAAGTATATGAACCTCAGGGTAGGGTCAAAAAGGATTTTGAGATAATAAACTCTCAGCATGCCAAAGACTGGCAAATACTGCTTACACCTTTCATAAGATAGCTAGAGATATCCTTCTGAGCAGCTTGGAGCTGTGGAAGAGGGTTACCAATACCTTAGGGCCCTGGAGCAATTGTGTTCCCATGGCAAAGACTTGAAAATCAGGGGTGAAGAAACATCCTGAAGTAATGAATTTATGTAAAACCCTCCGTAAGGTTTGCTGTGTGAAGCAATACAAGGTCATGGAGAAGAGGGTAGAAAAGGAAGCAGGGCAAGGACAAAGAAAAAGAAATCTGGTCCTATACCACAATTTTAACTGTTTAATTAATGTGGGGGTTGACCCAGGTCCTGTTGAACAGCTCTTATACATTCAAAAGGGCAAATAAAACACAAAACATACAAAAGCTAGAACATGGAAGGTGATTACCATGATACCCTGGTTAGCAGCTCTAAAGGGTAGTCACCTGGGGACAAGGGGAGCAAATACGTCAGCTACACCTCTCACACAGCAAAACATCTGCTTCACCACTGCTCCTACACATTCTCCTGGATTACAGAGAACTGGGACTGCCTAATCTCTTAAATAAACTATCTTGGATGCTTCTCTAATAGAGACATTGTCCTGTTATTTGAATATTTTCCACCTTTTATTGTTCCCATTTCAGTCCTCAAAGTTCATAGCAGCAAATGCCTTCATACATTTACCTTGCAGAGACTCCTGCTCAACCTTACCTTGCCTTCCAGTCAAGGCAGAGAAAGAGGAGCCTTTTCTCCTTCCCTCCTCCCTGTGAATTGGCATGTACTCATAGAAGGCCACAATATTCAAGGGTATCCTCTAACTGCGAGTGTCCTGTAAGATATATCCTCAGTACTTTTTAAGACTCAGAATAAGACCTCCAAATAGAAGACATCCATCCAAACTGATCACCCACTATTAAAAGCCCAAAATGCCGATGTCTTCTTAAATTAGCAGTGATTTCCTCAATCAGATGACATTCTACAGCTGATAACCAGCCACAAATCTTTACTGCTTCAAATATTTCTGCACATAAGTACACACCTCAACGCAGCTCTTTCTTGACTGATATTTTTAAATACAAGCATCACTTTTTTATACTCCTGATTGAACAATAGGCAAGATGATAAGCACAACTCAGGTACAGCCAAGCTTTTTCTCTCTCTTTTTCTGAAGCAGCTAGGGGATTTACCCATACCAATAACTGCTATGTTAGGAGATGATACATGTTCATAGTTGTGCTGCATTCTATAATTTTTTTGAAGAGGTGAATATAAATTATTATTTTAATAATATGCCTTCCTGTTTCAAGTTATATATTGTGATTAGATAACGGCAAGAAAGAGGAAGTAATTTAAGGAAATCTTTTAAAACTATAAATATTGTCATTATTATGTAGGTGTACTTTATATTAATTATGTAAATATATTCTAAGACTTAGTGTAGGCTTAAAATGAAACAGAAGCATCTGTTGAAAAATGCCATAACCCTGTGGCAGCTGCTATTAAACCATTAACAGTATCAGGTTTCATTTAAACCAGATTTACCATTTTCTATAACAGCCCGTGGGAAAGCTAAAAACATTAGGCACAAATTACTGACAAAAGAGATCCTTAATCAAGCCATACATTTCATTTGGCTAGCTGGGTGCTAGATAGTAACCTCTGTGCTACAAATTAAAGGTGGTAGTTACAAGGCTATGATCAAAGACAATTACCTGCATTATTGAACAATCCCAAAGCATAAGCAGCTGAAATCACTGCCGTATCACAACATCCCTTTCGGTTTCTCCCTTGTTTCCCAGACTTACTCTTTTCTTCAGAACTACTCAACAGTACACTATCTTCTGCCAGCCTGCCTATGAGCAGACAGTGGTCAAGCAGTTGGTGTAAGGATAATTGTGACTATTAAAAATTAATTTCTTTGTTTCCTGCTCACATTTATTCTTCATTTGCTATAAGCTCCCATCCTGGACCTAGACTGCAAACACTCTTTGGGACTGGAAGCATCCCTTTGCTTACAATTACAGGAGCTGGATGTTTAAGTCATGCCATGATCCAAACACATAATGACAAAACATATAAGAAAAGTAAGGATTTTGTCACACACCTGTGTGCTACAAAGCCTGAGGCTGTAAGATTCATTCTGGGAGTCCTCATGCACGAGCACTAGGTGTCTGACCCAGGTAGGACAGTGTCACGCATCTCAGCATACATGGTCAAATAAAACATACCTACCAAGTAAGAATTTTTTTTTTCTGTTGAATCCATACAAAAATCCCAGCCAAGTCTCTACCTGTTACTCTACGCCGGTGTGACAAGCATTCATGCAGGCGCCTGTGGGCTTTCATTTCCATCCTGACGGCCGCCGGGAGCATGATTTATATAGGGGGACTGCTGTTTAGGAAGGGATAGCCAGGCTGAAGCGGAAGAGTTTCAAAAAGGAGGGAGGTCCCCTCACCAGCCCCATGCTAAACCTATTCCCGTCACCACAGTGAATGCGCGTCTCTGCCACAGCCCGCTGCCCCACAGCCGCAGGGTCAGACAGCCCTGGGAGGGAGCTCGGTGGTGTGCCACCTGCCCTTCATTAGCCTCCTCCTAGGCCGCAGGCCTGAGAGCAGGGATCTGGGGCACGGCCAGCGCAACCCGTAGGCATAGATGCACAAAGGCATTTCGGCATGTAGCTCCAATTGAAATCCACAGTCCCTGAGCACCTGCGTGCCTCTGTGGGTTTGGGCTATCACGCTCAGGTACAGGGCAGGGAACATCTCGGGTATTTAGGGGAGGAGGGGAATCAGTAATTGCTCGCTCTCGTACAAGACTCGGGGCAGTGCCTGGGATGGGCAAGGCGCAGGAAGCTCAAACTGAGCGGTTTGTTTTGATGGACTGTTTTGTTTCTGAAGAAAAAAAAAAAAAAATCAGCAGTTATATTTTCCCTGCTGGCAGCAACCTCTTTTGAGGCACTATTTGGTAAGTTAGTCCACAAGCCTGCACCAACACTGTTGATGTTCAAAGAGAGCATACTACGTAAATACAGCTTCCTGGGTTTTAATGAGTCTACTCTCTAACACCTTAGCTCACTGTTTCTCCTTGCTCAGGTAATATTTCCATTGAGATCTGTGAGGTATATAGCCTTTTACAGTGCTATGAAAGCATCCGGCACCCACTTTTTACTGGTGTAATTTCTTCTGCAAAGAGGGATGTAGCAGAGAATAAATAATGCTTGCGTGTGCCTGCACAGGCACAAGTAATTCTTCTTAGTCTGCAGTTAACAGTGTTGCATTTAATTGAATTAAATCATAGTGAACTAAAATTATCTCTTGCCACTATTTCTGAATTCAACTGTTTTATATCAGTTTTATTGTAATATATCTTACTTCCCCATATGCCACCATAATTTCAGCAAAGAAATCGTTTACTCTAGAGAGAGAATGAATTCTATTTGAATATTTCAATAAACAGTTCCAGTGTGAGGATTTTGGGGTTTCTGTCTGACTTACTCTTGGGCTTTAACCTTGTCAGAGAAGAAATAAACCTTTGCTTCACTCCTCTGCACCTTCAAATACTTTCATTTTAGAAGGAAAAGGACAAAAATTACATTACTTAATTCACATAACATAAAAATTTGACCACTAAACATGTGCAATTCAAATGGATTAAAGTTAATTAGAATATGCAAAGGCAATTCAATGTTTATTTATTATATAGAAAAATCTTGCAAAACACCACAGAAATTAACGGCTCATCGTTCCTGATTATGAAAACTGCGGCAAATGAAACTCACTGGTGTAAAATATGGGTAGAAAACCTTTTAAATAGGAGCAGTTCCCATCAAACTATTTCATTAAGAAATAAAAAATTACTTCACTATGTAAAATGAATTGTGCTGGAGACGAGGCTGTTATTGCCAAAATAAGGTGGAGCTTTCACAACCAGATTTCAAGCCCTCCCTGTTTACATGCAAGGCCAGCATACAGGCAGAGGGAAGGGCATGCTTGGGAAGTGTTTGGGTAACTTGGAAATTTATAAAAGGCCAGAAGAGAGGGAATAGAAACATGGACTGAGATTAAAAAAAAAAAAAAAATCATGTTATTAGGGTTTTCCAAAAGTCCTATCTATCATCAGAATGTCCTGGAGTAGCTGGAAACTTACTTCCCCAGCTTTCCATCGCTGCCTGTCTTTGAACAGGTATCTGAATACAAAATAACACACAAATCAAAGGAGGACCGTGCAGTGCGCTACCATTCATTTCCCTGTATATACGGTTTGTGTTTTTTTCTATTTTCTGAAAAAGAGAACAGACCTTTCAAGCCTGACATAGGTCAAATGACTCCCTGACTCCTCTCCTTGCAGCTTGCAGTTCTCCTTAAACCTTTATGCAGTACCACAATCTTTCCTGTGACCCA